TTAAATACCTTCTTTATCTACAATCGACTCTGTATATAACTAACTGACAATTCTAAATTTTTAAAAGTATAATATATTAAACTTATTTATAAGCTTATCTCTAAATTTATTATTATATTCAGAGTTGACTACATATTTGAAAGAAATTTTCATTAATTACATATTTATTTATTTATTTATTTATTTGTTAAAGAACTCAAAAATTAAAACCTTCAGATCCAAAGCATGCCATAAATCGGAAAGCTAGTTATAAAGCTCTTGAAGAACTTTATACTTCTGGCAAAATTCGAGCTATTGGAGTAAGCAATTACACTCACCGTCATTTAACAGATTTATTATCTTATTGTACAGTTATTCCTGCAGTTTTACAAGTTGAATTACATCCATTATATTATCAAAAAGAATTAATTGATCTATGTCGAGAACATAAAATTCAAATTCAAGCTTATTCAAGTTTAGGAGAAGGTAAATTAGTTAGTGGAGAAATTGAAATACCATTAATTAAAGACATTGCAAAGAAAAATAAGGTTAGCGAAGCACAGATTTTGTTGAGATGGGCATATCAACATGGATTTATTGTTATACCTAAATCTGTTAAAGCGGAAAGAATTAAAGAAAATAGAAATATTTTTAACTTTGAGCTATCAAATGAGGTTTGTTATATATATATATATATATTTAATTATTATTATTATTTTTGAAGAAAATCATATTAATTTGACATACAATAGGATATGGAAGCTTTGGATTCCCTCGGAAAATCACAAACAACTAAATTTTGTTGGGATCCTACTGATATATATTGAGGAATTACTTTTACTATATTTGTAGTAAATTTATACTCATCCCTTTTAAGTTACTGTATCACTTTAGATAAAAATAAGTTTATAAAGAGCTACAAAAGATGCAATTACAAGCTTGTAAATCTATTTATATAAGATCTAGCCAATTAAGGTCAGTATTTACTATTTTGGAATTTTGTAAAATAAATTACCTTTAGATATAAATGGTTTTCTCCTTTCAATCACATAATAAAGCAACAGATTTATATAATATAATATTCTAACACGACCATAATGTGTGACAGGTTGATGTTGGTGTTTCAGAAAAAAAAAAATTCTTTCCATAATTCTGGTACATTATAAACATTTCTAAATCCTCCTAATATTCTTAATCTAATATAATTAACTTGTCTCATATTTGGTCTTGTAATATTATATAATACAAGTAGTGATGGGCAACGCGTGTGATCTCGCACGGGATACGAATGCTGTTAATATGCCCAAAATATTCCAATAAATTTTGACCGCCATTCCGTAATATTTCGAAAATAAGAGATTATCTATCCTACGCTTTTTGGGAATTCGCGATTCGCCCATCACTAAATAAATTCCAAAAGTGCATTTTGACTTTTATCAGAATTAAACCATGCGTTTCGGATGAATGTCTTCATTCAAACTTTGCTAAAGATAAATCATGCCTTGAAAGATTCACTCATCATGTATCTAAAGTTTTGACCTAAAATTACAGACGACTGGAATTACTATTTAATGCAGGCAAGAAGATCAATTAATATTAGGGTTTAATTTCAGCCAACTAATGAACAGGTCTACTAATTAACTAATTAAATACATAGCTTTTTAAAACATTGCCTACTGTTAATTTAAAAAGTGAAAAAAATATTTATACAACCTTTTAGAATTAATTTAGTTTCTTAAACTTGAAATATAAAAACTTTTTATTAAACAAATAATTAGCCTTTTGTCACAAAGTATATATAAATTGATGATTAGAAACTAGAGTTTGGAAAATTCCAGGTAAAAACTTTCTTATAACTTTCTTAAAGTTCATACTTTCTATTCAAAAACTTAAGAATTTGGAATCAATAG